TATTAAAATTGAGGTACAGATCATATGATTTACTATGTCTCGTAACCCACTTTTAATAGATCAGCTCCCATATGATAAAATAAAAAAAAAATTTTTTATTTTGCTTTATAATTTTTTTTTTATAAAATAAATAAGCATAAATCTTTATGTTAATTTTTAATTATTTAATGTTAATTATTAATTTACAAATATTCATATAAAAAGTGAAGCATATTTCATTTGTAAATAAATCAGCTAATTTTTATTTTGTTTCTAAATCTCTTTATAAATGATTTCAAAAAGATACAAAAGTTTCTAAAGCTATATTATTTACAATTGATTTTATTGCTAATGCATTTTTATCATTTTTCTAATTATGATTAAGCTATTTATCTTCAAATATTAACTTTCATAAATTTAATATTTGATCAAAAAATTGTAAATTTTTATTATTAAATCAATAATTAAATCTTTTCATCCTCTTTATATAAAGTTATTTCTCTTCATAATTTGATTGTTCAATCTCATTATTTGTTTTATATTTATTTATTAAACTAATTTATATTATCATAATTCTTTTAAGTATTTTTATTTAAAGAATGAATATTAGAATAAAATTCACAAATTTTATTTGTTTCAGTTTAATACATCTTTTTTATATGCCTAATTAATAACATTTTTATTTGTATTATTGCTAATATTTTATCATATTAAAAAAGATTAGAATATTTCTGTATTAATATAATTAATTTTAAAAATTTTTAAATCAATTTCATTCATTAGAATATAAATACTCTATTGAAGAACATGACCTTGTACTAATATAATTATACTTAATAATTATCTTAATTAAATATATATGTAATATATAATTATAGAAATTTAGGGGATCTGATCAATTAATTGACAATTATTTGGCTAATAATCATTTGACCAACGATCATTTAGCCAAAAGGTCTGTATTGCTAACAATTATTTAACTGACAAGTACATTTTGCCAATAATCATTATATTGACAAATATTTATTAATATTAAAAAAAGAAAACTAAATGCAAATAAAATTTTCAATAGAAAAGTTATTTAAAATCTTTTATTATAAGTAATTGCATATATAAACCAAATACTATTTAATACATTGATTAAATTGTAAACTATTAAAATATAATATTATATGCAATACTCTGAAGAAAATCTATAACTTGTCTATTATTCTAATTATTATATATCGTTTGAATTCGTAATTCACATGTATGATCTTTATTCTTTAGTAAATTACGTGATAAGACTCTTAAAATTGATTCTATTTCAAATTGAGTTCTTTTTGAATCTCATTTATAATTTTAAATACACCAATATATATATTACATATTAAAGTCTTCCATTTTTGATGCTAGGCTTCTACAGTATTTTGAGTTTGAGGAAAAGCATATTCAATATTATCAGTAACTGACTAAAGTAAAGGTGGAAATAATAGTGCAGATTAGACTACATTTTCACTTCTTGATGTACATCTTATTCTGCTATGAATATAATAACTTTCAAATCATTTCATGATTTGATTAGCTTCTGCTGATATATTAATTTTTAATTCATCAAATATTACATAAATATCATCAGGAAGTAAAAAAGCTAATGCTGGTATATGTCGAATTAACAAACTAAAATTTTCATCTGTCTTATATTGAGTAGTGAGTCCGAAAGTTTGTATTTTATGATAAACATTTTGAACTAAGTGAAAATAATATCCTTTATTTTGAATATCTTGAAATTCTGCTTGAATAGTATTAATAGTAGCTTATTTAAAATCTGTTAAAATAAATTGTAGTTGTAAATCAATATTTTGTTCTTTACTAAAATCAATTAAATCTTCAAATAATTTCTTATAATATTTTTCAGATTTGATAAACATTAATGTATAAATAAGAGGTAAAATTCTTGAATTATCATTTCCTCCAACATATCTATAAATAGTATATAATTGTTTGAATATAGATAGAACTGTTTTAAAAGTCTTATCTATAATCCAAAAAGAACATTGTTCTAAATGCTTAATATTATCCAAAGTAGTAAAAAGTAATATTCTATTATGGCTTATAGTTGGATCTTTAATTAAAAAGTCAGATCTATCTAAAGTTTTTTGTATATTTTCAGGAATAATAAGATCTTCTAAAGGCTGTGATTCTGAAGAAAAATCAACGCGTTGAATCTGTTTAATAGTTTAGCAGAATGCATTATAAGATAGAAGGTATAGATATATTTCTTGTGAACTATTAGCAGTTATAGATTAAACACATTCCTTTAAAATATTGTATTAATACAGCTGGCTTCTGCAGTATGATTGTTTCTAAAGTTTTTTGAAGATAATGTTAGTCTTCAATTAATTTAATGATTGCTTTTCCATGACATTTTAATGTAATTCGTTTCTCACAAGACCAATAATATAAATTATTTCTGTTTTTATTCTTAACCATAAAAATAATTATGAATATTAAATTTAACTTTATTGTGAGTAGAAAAAATAACATCATAAATAATATTATTCATTTTGAAAGAAAACTAAATAAAGAATTGCGTCTTAGAAAAAAACTTTTATTAAATCATTTGTTGATCATTATGATATCATAATTAAATCATTATGATGTATAAATAATATCATTTAATAAAATGCTAAATTTTGCTGAATATTTATCGGTAAAATGATTGTTGGTAAATTGTACCTGTCGATAATATAATTATTGAACAAATGATTGTTAGCGATATGTACTTGCATTTAAATAGTCATCGGTCAAATGATTATTGGCTAAATGATTGTCAGTTAATTGAACCAAACCCAAAATTTAGTGTTTAATTAAAACTATTTTCTTAAATCTGAAACTGTTCACCTAGAAAATTTTCAGTCTTGTCTGATATATTCAAAGCTAATCCAAAAGCTTAATTTATAAATACTTTTTAAATCAAATTAAGCAAAACTAGTTTTATCTGAAGTATTATAGTAATAATTAATTACAGAATGTATAATTAATTACAGAAGATATTATTAATTATATGATTATATAATACTATAACAAAAATAAGGGTTCTGATGCAGAAATTAATATAGTACAATTTAAGTTTTCTGACCGTTTACGTACAGTATCAATTTTAGTTATATGAATCAATTATCAAATTCAAGCCTTTAGCCTGATTTAACTCAAATTTAGATGTTAATATTAAACTTAGTTAGAAATTAGCCTGTCTGATACCAAGAATTATACTGTTTGATATAGCTACTATAGTCCAATTTTAATCCCAAATAATATATTAAAAAAATTTTACTATTCTGTTTGCCTTAAAAGAGCTCATCAAAAATCAAGAAACAAAGTAATACAATCTAAACTAGGCTTGACGTTACAAACTCAATATGAATAATAACTTTTATGCGATTCTGCTTACCTCTGAAGGGCCATCAAAAATCAAGGAATAAAGTAACATGATTTGAGCTGAACCTAATTATACAAGTCTAAAATGCATATTGTACTATATTTTATGATATCCTAGAATTAATTTTAAAACTAATTCATATTCATCTAATAAGATCATAATTTCAGTATATACTGAAGATGTGATCCATGTTGCACTGATCAAATATAACCAATCATATGATTTGAATTGGTTAGCCGATCTGACCAATAGGATTCCTCAAAATCGAATTGAATCAAATATTTAAGCAATTTGAATTTGATTTGATTTTTCAAATCGAATCAAATCGAATCAAATTGAACTCAAATAT